GCATCTCTCTAACCCTCTGTTTGTTTGTTTGTTTGTTGGTTGGTTTGTTTGTTGAGCGTGCAAACTGTGTTTCCATCTATCTATCCCTTGTTTCTCCTCCTTGTCCTCTCTTCACTCAGACCTCTCTGTGCTGGAACATCAACCATCTTAAGGTTGTAACAATGAATCCTGTGTTTTGCATGTCAAATGTAAATACTTATGTGAGGTACAAGTTCCTCATAAAGTGTACGTTGAATGGTCTCAGTTACGTTGCTGAGGTGTCCTGATACATTTAGAGGACGACACATGAATCTGTATGAACACGACCACAAACAAACACAAATATTAGATATTTATATGTAAAGTATGAGATTATTCTCAGACTGTATGTGTTGCCGGTGTTACAACACCGTGTTAGAGATTTTCAGTAAATGGAGTCGTGAACAGTGCGCGGCTGCTTCACCGCACAAATCTCCAACAACAGGTGGGTGAGGGTGTCGTGGTGCGACAGGCGATCAGTTTGAAAGCAATCTGATCCTCAGAAATGTCGCCCTATAAATATATTCTGCTCAACTGCTTCTCCTGCCTTGCAACTGTCAGGCCTGTCTTAACCTTTGACCCCCACACTTGTCTTCCCCACCACCACCACCACCCCTTCAGCCACGTTGACCCCCAAAACTCATTCCTGTGCTGTTCTAACGTACTGTGAACTAGCTCTCTGCACTCAGACACATGTAGGGAACATTAGACGATCATGCAAATGATGGAGAGATATTTGACTGTAAAATATTCTGAGAGAGAAAGTTAAAAGTTTACCGTCACAATGTCAGCGTTACAGTTCACCTGAGGTCTGATGTAATAATGGGTTTGTTTACAGTAAAAAACAAGCTCTCTCTCAGTCTTTTTAACCTCTTTTTTCTTTTAATATAATAAAGCTTTTACTTCAACTATTATGAAAAATGTGCCACTTTAGTGTTTGATCAGTGCTTTGTGGGACAGTGTATGCATAACTTTACACATGTGTTCACTCAAATTAGCAAATAACAGTCGTTAGTTCTCTAAAACTTTACTTTTATTTATTCCTCTACATTCGTCTTCCTTGTCAAAACCTGGCGCCTACATTACCCACAATGCAAGTTCTGTCTGACATTCAGTTATGTTGTGCTAACAGCGGCTAATGTAGCCTTGAGCTGTTCGCCTCATGCAGAGATGAGGAGCGGGTACAGATGTCTCCCCACACCCACAGATGTTTTCAAACATGTCGTCTTCAGACCCAACCGACACCGACTCAAGTGACATCACATGAGGCCAAGACCTGTAAACAAACTTTGATGTAAAATAGGTGTAGTTGCCCTTTAAGAGCAACAATGTAAACGAGATTAGATTCATTTTCTACTCGATTAAAGTTCAGTTGGTAGGACACCAAACACAATAAGTTTCCCCTTTGTAGCTACAACTTACGCTAACTAATGAGTATAGATGTATTGTTGATATGCCATAACCATATGATATCTACTAACTTAGCTCATGCAGAATAAAACAAGCTAAATGATTAACTAAAGGTGTATTCATCTGACCAGCAGCTTCTATATTTTCCTCACTGCAGGTGACTGGAGCTTCAACACACACATGAAATAAAGGTTTCACATTTGTTTATGAGGTTGAGGTGTGTGTTGGTGCTTCTACAACCTTCACTGACGTCACATTCACTTGAACTTTCATGCCAGAGTGAACTTTTTCTTCAAGGTGAGGAGTTATTTTACAAGCTGCACACTCCCAGGAACAGTAAGGTCAACGGCTTTATTTCATGTTTAACAGTTCAGTGTAAATAACACACCCAACTGCAGCCTGTGTGTGCAGCGGAGGGGCTTCAGAGACCCACAGACACTGTCTATTTCAGGATCTTCTATTTATTGACTAAGTCGCTGGTATGCACAGGGCCTTTCTCTCAGGTTTCATCCTCCTCAGGCTCGGTTCCTCAAAGGAGTTAAATCTTGTAAAATATCAGGCTTTACCCAAAAGCTGAGTGGTTTAATCTATTAACAGTGATTTCCTCATCGTGAATGAGGTCAGACTGCTGCAGCAACAGACATTCCCTCACAGCAAGCAAGCAGAGCTGCAAGTGCTCCTGCTGGAGTTTATGTAACAGGTCATGCTTTATAAGGATAGGGTGCTATACAGATAACAGAAAGTCCCTATAGGGATATTACTGCAATGTGGAGTTATAACACACAAAAACAACTCCAGAAAAGGCTACATGTGCATTCAATCTCTTACACAAGAAGTCTGACAGATTACTTATAAGTTTTTTAAGGCTTCCAATATTGAATTACAATGTTATTTATATATATATAAATATATTATAGATGTATTTTTACTTTGTGTTGTAAGTAATGTAGCCTATGTTTAGGGCAGGTTATGGTTAAAGACCAGCGGAAATAACAAGCATAATAGCTTGGAGATCATCATATTTAGGATGTCCAAGTAATAAAGCGGACCTTTAATTTGAAAAGCAACCACACAAACAGTGTAAAACACACTCACCTGGCTCATACTTGAGGTAGAGGATGGATACGATGTAATACGCGAGATCAAACACAGGAAACATTCCCATTTTGGAGAAATTTTGGGCAAAATCGCCCAAATTAAGAACTCCTAGCACTGCTTCCATGTTGCCTGTCTGATAACCAGTGAATGTTTCTTTCTTTTGTTTTTGAAGTCCAACTGCGCAGTCTGGTTCAGAATAAAGCCCCCCCAAAACCCGGTCCACCTACTCTTCTCCACCAAGCCCCCCGGTCTCAACAGTGAAAGCCTGTGACACTCAAGCCTTCCTATTAATACCACTCATCTCCACACAGCATGAGCATCATCCTCATCGCCACCACCACCATCATCATCATCATCACCATCTGCCAGCTGCTGCGCTTTCCAGGCGACAGGAGGTGTTCCGTGTCAGCTGCTTGAAATTTAAAAACAAAAGGCTGGTTGTCCTCCTGTGTTCATCCCGGACAGTATTATCCTTATTCACCTGAGCCTCAAGGCGCAGTTAGAGGTCTGTTTATAGCAGCCGAGACAAGTGTCCACGTTTAACACAGATTTATTCACCCGCTCATAAAAAATGCAATCCCACAATCCGGATCAGATCTTGCAGCGAGGCTGATTCACAGCTAAATGAGGAGCGACTGTAATCCCGAACAGCCCGGTAGAGATATCACCGGCTGTTTACATTCTTCCAGATGGAGGCAGGAAGGTTGCAGTAATGTTGTGGAGCCTCCATTATCACACAGCAGTCCGATTATTTCATTTATATTATTTAATTCATTTAATTATTTTGCTTTATTTATGTTTTGCTTTTAATTCTTGGGTATAATTCTCAGAGCAACGAGCTCCGCCGCCACCAGGAGGCGCCAATTGTAATAAGATTGTTTTTTTTTAATGACTGCTTATCTCTTAGTCATATTGTTTCTTGATATTTTTGTTCTTGTTTATTGGGCTCAGTTAGATAATTACTTGTTTTGTGTAGTGAAACCACAGACCGTTATGTTCCCAACTAAATAACTGGTGGTATAAGGTGTCCATATTAAATAAATAAATTATAAAAATACATAAATATGAATAAACAAAAAAGGTTATGCTAATTTCCCAGTATCATAAAGGCTGGAGGTGCCTGGTCTGACCTGTTGTTTGTTTTTTTTGTCAATTCTCCCAACTGCAGACAGACTTTTTATTAGTATTTATAGTATTTATAGATTTTCAAACATATATTGTAAAATTACACAGGTACATAATTACACAGAAGGTGGGAATTACAGTAATTATTTCATGCTTGTTTTTATAAATGTTTTTCATTCAAATAAAGATGGTAAAACAAAAATGTAAGCTGAAATAATGAATTATTTGCACACACAAAAAGAAGCCTCGTTGTAACGAAATGTTAGATGGCGTTTTTAAAAATACATAGTTATTATAGTGTTGTGATGGTTACTGATGTGTAACAGAATTTTAAAAAGCAGCAACAATACATCAACAAACCTCTGCAGGTCTGAATACAGTCACTGCTCTGAACCTGCCGCTGCTATAACCTTCCTGCTCTACAGGTGGCGCACATCGCTCAGGTGTGGTTTACACTAATAACGTATTTATTCCTCATTTTAGTCTTTCAGGTAAAATGTCTTCGCTGCTGTAAAACACGTATCGACCTCATTCATTCCACAACACCTCTATACTGTTACATTTATCTTCTAGTGCTGCTTAAACTGAAAGCAAACAACCATTAGAGAGGCGGGGGGCACACAGCCTGGCACTGGCAGGAACAACCTGTCAGTCCAACCTCAGGGCATCAAACCTGACGAGGATACTGACACGTGATTGGTCACTTTCCCGATTGCGTGTACGAACGCGGAAGTGAGGCGTCTGTGATGTGAAGAAAATGATCGGAGATCTGTTGATATTCGGGTAATTCTCTCGGTTTCTGACACCTGCCACTCACTGATACTGCTTTAGGTGATCGTACTGCTCTCTGTGTGTGTCACTGTGTACCATGTTGTCACTTAGAAAGCTGTGCATCAGGTTAAATGACAAGATAGCTCCGTGCTAACTGCCAGCTCAGCAGCTAACGTTAGCTCAGCAGGTAAATAACAAACATCTTTACCTGTCAACAACAACAAAGAGTCTGTCTCTCTGTGCTCTACAGGACCCTACTGGTGAATGCAGGGGCTGTGCTGAACTTCAAGCTGTAAGTAGACGATACAGTGATGAGACTGAACAGAAGAAACAAAACAACTGGTTAATGTTTGTTGTTTGTTGTTTGTTGTTTGTTGTTGTGCAGAAAAAGGAAAGAGTCCCAAGGATTTGGAGATGAGTCCAGATCACCGACAACAGGTGTGTGTGTGTAGTGTGTGTGTGTGT